ATTTTTATCCACTCTATCAACCAATCTTGAAGCTCTTCCTTCAGACATATCTAGAATCTGACCACTTCTTACTACCTACTGCTGCCAATTTAGTGAAAGGTGTTGCCTGTCACCTGGACAATTGCAACAAATCCTAACTGCTCTTCATGCTACCTGGTCCCCCTATAAGTCTGTTCTCTACATGGCATCCAGAGGGATCCTTTAAAACCCGTCAGATCATCTTCCTCCTCTGCTCAAAATCTTCCAACGGCTCCCATCTTTCTCAGAGTAAATGCCAAAGGCCTTACGGTGGGCTACCAGACCCTACACACCCTGCCCCCAGCCACCTTTCCGACATCATCCCTTCTACCTGCCTCTTGCCCACTTCACTCCAGCTATCTTGGCCTTCTTGCCTTTCCTTGAACATTCCAGGCACACCCCTGCCACAGGACATTTGCACATGCTCATTTCTCTGTCTGGAAGAGTTTATACCTGGAAGATAGCCCCATGAATTACTTCCTTATTTCAACCAGGGGTCTGCTCAGAAGTCATCTTATCAGAAAGGTTTTCCTGGACTACCCTGAGCTGAAATAACTCTCCCCCACCCTGACACTTTATCCTCCTTACTGTGCCTTATCTATCTTCATAGCACTTACCACCATCTGCCATATTAAATATTTATCGGTTTATTGTCTGCCTTTCTTCACCAAACACCATGGGGCAAGGACTATTTTGTTTGCTGGTGTGAACCCAGACCTTGGCACATGATAGACACTCACTGAAAATACATGAATCCCAGCCATGATCTTGTGAGCAAGATACTATTCCCCCCATTTTTCAGGTGAGGAAACTGAGACTCTGAGCTTTAGGCAAGTGGTGGACACAGGCATTCTGGGACTCAAGTAAATTCTCTTAACCTCAAATCCATACAGACTTTGCTTTAGGTAGAACAATACCAACTCCAAGAGGTCATCCTGGGAAACTCCTGCTGATAGAATGCTCTGAATAGGGATTAGCAAGAAAAGGAACAACTATTTAATTTCTGACTTTAGTGGGTTTGGAAAGAGAAAGAGTTCAAGTCCTGGGGTACCTTGAGAATCAACAGAACCATCAAATGTGTCCTCAGGGCACTGGGTTGGCAGTTCCAGGCTTGTGCTGCCCCTCCCTCACTCCGACTCCCAGGGTATCAGGCCTCTCTGTGCAGGGAGCTGCCCCAAGGCCATGGCCAGCCAGCCCTGGATTTGACGTCATCCTCTCTGGCAGCTGGTGATATTTACATTCGTGCTGAAGCCACTAAGGCTCTCTCTGATGCTCTATTTCCTTGAAACAGGGAGCTGGTGTGTGGGCACCTCAATACTAGTGACAGCTGTTGATGGGGGAGGCATTGGAGCAAGCTTGGGGGAGGCTGCCCAGCCAAGGACAGGGCTTGCTTAGGGGAAAGCTTATCTGGGGCACTCTGCCCGCTGCTTCTACTGTGCTTTCTCCCAGCTAAGAGTACCTCCAGTACCTGGACCAGTAAATATTTGTCCACCAAGTCTTGCTTAATCCTAAGAGAAGGCTCTGAGGCATTTTTCCATGAAGGCTGCAGGGGAAGCCAGGATGTTGTAACCACCACCTCAGCCCTCTGAATAACTTGTGTGAGCTGCTCAGCATCACTCATACATTCATAATTAATTCACTCCAATGTGTCCTTGGGCTGGGGCGACAAGACCACAATGACCCTCGTGGAACACCCAGCCTAGAGGGAGAGACTGACAAGTAAACAGCTATTACAACCAGTGCGATGGGCTCTACCATGGGCCTTGGTATCAAGTTCAAGTCCCAAGTTTGCTACTTAGCTATGTAATCATGGGCACATCGAGCCACCTCTTAGAGCTTCACTTGTGAATTGAAGCTATTACAAGGATTTAACAAGATAACAGATATTAGCTAGCATTTATTAAGCACTTATAGTATGTACTGTGACCTTCTCATTTGTTAATTTGGTCATTACAACACTCCTACGAGATAGATGCGATCTCTCTCCTCATTTTACAGATAAGAAAACTGAGGCACAAAGAGAGGTTATATCATTTGCCTACGCTTCACAGCCCTTTACGTGATGGAGCCAGGGTTCAAATCCAGGAAGTCTGGCC